AGACTGGAGATTTGCGATTAATAGTTAGCATGTTGATGGTAATTAAAGCCATGGAACCGATGAATATACATAGGGAAAGAATGTAAGGTGAGAAGAGAAGAATCTGTAGACCTGAAGTTTAAAGATGCTTAGTGTTTAAAGGTCAGGCAAAAGAGGACAAAGGGGAACAAAAAATAACAAAGTGATTGGAAAAAGAGAAGAAGAGATTTTATAAAAAACCTAAAGAGGGTATATTTGAGGAAGGAGGATATATTGTTTATAGTATTGATTATTTCTGAAAGGCCACATGTTATAAGGACAGAGAATGTGAAATGCATTAAGCAATTTGAGGACGGTCTTCCTGTCATCTACCAGTTAGTTCAGGTATTCAACAAGCACTGCTAGAGCGTTTTGAAAGATCATGAAGACGCTGGATAAGGGCAGGCACTTTTGATAGAGAAATGGAATCCAGAGAGGAATCTGAGTGTGTTGCTTGTACTTGAACCTAAACAAAAATCACAGGCCTGCTGTGCTTAAATCATGACTTGCCCTGAGAAGGATCTTTTTGGGAATATAGGGAAGCATAGGACATGGATATGCTTCCTTCTTCAAAGATGTTACAATCTCACTGGAAAAAGAAGGCATAAATGCAATTTAAGTAATACAAGGTGACCATGTAGGATATGCCCCAAGGTAGCATTTGATTAATAGCTAGAAAATAAGCACTGTTCATTAAGACTTTATTCCAGGTGCTTTATATACATCTTATTTAATCTCAACGAGCAAACTCTAGGTTCATAGATGAGAAAATTGACATTTGCTAGATCATGACAGAAGTAAGGGGTTGAGGATCTATCTGATGCCAAGTATACACTTTTCAACTCTGCCATATTCTTTTTCTTTTCTTTCTTTCTTTCTTTCTTTTTTTTTGAGACAGAGTTTGACTCTGTCACCCAGGCTGGAGTGCAGTGGTGTGATCTTGGCTCACTGAAACCTCCGCCTCCTGGGTTCAAGCGATTCTCCTTCCTCAGTCTCCCAAGTAGCTGGGATTACAGGCGCCTGCCATCGTGCCCAGCTAGTTTCTGTATTTTTATTAGAGATGGGGTTTCAGCATGTTGGCCAGGCTGGTCTCAAACTCATGACCTCAAGTGATCTGCCCACTTGGCCTCCCAAAGTGCTAGGATTACAGGTGTGAGCCACTGCACCTGGCCTCTGCCACATTCTTTCTTAATGACTCAGTGCTTTTGAAAAGAAAATAGAGTGTTTTGGCAACATTTCCTATTTTCCCTTGATCTGAAATACTGCTGGAATTATATCTGTTATACCAAACTATGGTCTATAGCAGTGATTCTCAAACTGTGGAGGACTCCTGGGCACCCTTGAACACTTTCAGCAGGGTCTCAAGGTCAAACTTATTTTTCCTAGTAACAATAAGATGTTACTTCCTTTTCTACACTGTGCTGACATTGTCACTAATGGTGCAGAAGCAATGGAAGGTGAAACTGCTGGTGCCTTACTACAAATCGAGGCAGTGGCACCAAACTCTAATGGTGGTCACTGTATTTCTTCTTCACTGACACACACTCACAATAGGAAAAAACAAAAAAAAAAATCCCAACAGAACAACCTAGTTTTGCTTGAGGATTTCCTTGATGAAACAGTGAAAATTATTAATATAGCAAAACATTAACATGGGAGTGCATGTATTTTGAGTATTCCAGGTGATCAAATAGGAAGTACTAAGAAAGCACTTCTGCTCTAGTGTGAAGTCTGATAGTTGTTGATATGGTTAGGCTTTGTGTCCTCACCCAAATCTCATCTTGAATTATAATTCCCACAATCCCCACGTGTCAAGGGAGAGACCAGGTGGAGGTAATTGGATCAAGGGGAGGTTCCCCGATGCTGTTCTCATGATAGTGAGTGAGTTCTCACGAGATCTGATGGTTTTATAATTGTTTGGTAGTTCCTCCTGCATTCATTCTCTTCCTGCCACCTTGTGAAGAAGGTGCCTTGCTTCCTCTTTTCCTTCCACCATGATTGTAAGTTTCCTGAGGCCTCCCCAGCCATAAGGAACTGTGAGTCAATTAAACCTCTTTCTTTTATAAATTACCCAGTCTTGGGAAGTTCTTTATAGCAATATAAAAACAAACTAATACAGTTGTCTTAAGGAAAATATAGGTGGTTGTTTGAGTTCTGAGATGAGCCAACTTTTTTTCATGGAAAAGCATTTTTACTTGAAAGACTGACTGAGAAACAATATGGTTTTCAGACTCAGACATTTGGTAGACATTTTCTTGAAAATGAAGAATGTGAGCCCACAACTTTCAAGCAAAAATATCAACATTTCTTGCTAGTGATATATTTTAGCTTTCAAGCAAAAAGTGTAAGTTCAGAAAACTTTTGTTTACCACCATAATCTTGACAGCTTACCAACAGTAAGCATTTTCTTATGATAAAAATTGGTAGTGAAAGTGGCAAATGTTACTTTCTGATATTGTGTGATGAAATAAGTCAACAGTTACAAGATATGTATAACTTAGTAGATCAGTATTTTTCAAATGTTCGGTCCACGATTATGCATGCATCATGCATGAATAAAAGATCCATCAAAAGTGTGAAATAGACCAATGGGGTTTAATGCAAGTATATGGAAAAGTTCACTAATATGATTTCAGATTCTATATTGCAACTAATTTTAAGAAGTTACCATTTGTTGAGTTTTAATATAATATCAAAAAATGTTCACAATGATATAAAAAGGCAATTATAATATTCCTTCATTTTCAACTACATATCAGTGTCTGAATACATTCTTTTCTTATACTTTTCAAAAATATTTAACAGCAGCTTGAATGCAGAAGCAGAGATGAGAATCCAGTGTCTTGAACCAGATATTAGAGATTTGCGAAAGTATAAAACAGTGCTACTCTTCTTACTCTTTTTAGGGTCGTGAAAATATAGTTATTTTTACAAAAATTTTATAAAAATAACATGCTATGAATTATTGTTATTTTACTTAATATATATTTTAAAATTTCTCAATTTTAGTTTTTAATAATGGAAAAAACCCAAAATCCCTTTGGTGTCCTAAATAATTGTTAAGAGTGTAAGGTGATCCTGAAGCCAAATTTTTGAGATGTACTAGTTTATATCCACAGACAGAGGTAGTAGAATAAAGTGGTTAGGAGGCTCTGTTCAGTTTTTATTAGCGCTGGGCTGTTCAGATGGAATATGTTCTATGGATCCATCTTCAAGTTCACGGATTCTATTCTCTGTCATCTCTACTTTTGAACTCACTTAGCAAGTTTTTTTTTCTTTTTTTAAAATTAATTTATTTTTTTATCATACTTTATGTTCTAGGGTGCATGTGCACAACGTGCAGGTTTGTTACATATATATACATGTGCCATGTTGGTGTGCTGCACCCATTAACTCCTCATTTATATTAGGTATATCTCCTAATGCTATCCCTCCCCCCTCCCCCCACCACTTAGCAAGTTTTTTATTTTTGTTATCATATTTTTCAGTTCTATAATCCTCATTTGGCTTAATAAATATTTCCTGGGATTTTCCATTTTTTCATTTGTTTCAAGTGAAATTGTAAATGATTATTGAAGGATTTTTATAATATCTTCTTTAAAGTCCTCGTCAGATGATTCCAACCTCTGATTCATCTTGGTATTGGTGTTTGTTGATTGTCCTTGATATAATAGATGATTTTCAAAACATTGGCATGGTGGTTCATGCCTGTAATCCCAGCACTTTGGAAGGCCGAGGCGGGCAGATCACCTGAGGTCGGGAATTCGAGACCAGCCTGACCAACATGAAGAAACCCTGTCTCTATTAAAAATACAAAATTAGCCGGGCATGGTGGCGGGCGCCTATAATCCCAGCTACTAGGGAGGCTGAGGCAGGAGATTCGCTTGAACCTGGAAGGTGGAGGTTGCGGTGAGCCGAGATTGTGCCATTGCACTCCAGCCTGAGCAACAAGAGCAAAACTCGGTCTCACAAAAAAAAAAAAAAAAAAAAAAAAAAAAAAAAAAAAAAAAAAAAAAAATTGTATCCTAGACATTTTGATTATTACAGGGATCCTTGATCCTGTCTAAACCTTCTAATTTGGCGAAATCTGCTTAGATTTGGCATATGTGTTCTTGGGCTACTTTTGCGTTAGTTCCCATGGTGTCGGTGTAGTTTCCTAGGCCCTTGCAACGTCACTGTCCTTTGTTTTTTCGGGTACTGCTAAGGCTCCTGCTCAGTCGCTGCTGGCGCCACCTGCAGGGGGCAGAAGATACTTCCCTAGTAGGCCGGGGGTCACTGAGTGATCTTCGTGGTCACTTCTGGCCTAATTGTGCTGCTGGCTGGAAGACAGGGAGGCGCAGAGCTTTGCTAAGGCTGCCTCAGTGCCTAGGTGTGGACTGAGGTCTGAGACATCCCTGAATGTAACTGTTGCCCCTTTTGCAAGTGGAGAGGACCATCCACCAATGGCCTGGCTGTGGAGCGGGTTCTGGGAGGTCCCAGGATTTTCTTGATGGGGCTGAAGCCAGATCCGACTGCCTGCTGGGGCCCAGCATGTGCAATGGGAACTGGACCAGCTCCAAGCTTCCACTATGGGATCAAACTGCTTGCAGAGGCCCCGTTTGTGGTGCAGGGATTAGGGCCCTCTTGTCCTAGTTTTGGGGTGTGGGGTGCAGTGATAAAAAGAAAATCCAGGAATCTCACCACGTAGTCATTCCTCAAGCCCTGAAACCCATAGCCAGTCTACCTTCTTCCATCCATCTTTCTATTATTTTATCATTGTCTATTGGACAATTTCAAGGGTATTTAGTTAAATTTAGAGGGAAGGACCAGGGAAAAGTGTGTCTGCATGATCTTGTTTTGGAACTAGATATCACTGCTTATTTTTTGTTAAAAAATTAAACATTTAAAACATAAAAGTGGAAAAACCTGTGGCAACGTAGGTTAACTTTTGACATAGGTGGTCATCGTAAGTGTTTTTATAACATGTTTGTTTATTTCTATAGGAATTATGTTGGAATATGAAAAACATGGAGAATTAAAGACGAAGTCAATAGATTTGCTTGATCTTGGTCCCAGGTAAGTTAGCTGTAGGATTCAACAAGCAAATGTTCACTGGGAAAGGCTTGACACAGAGTGATGTGTGGATGAACTGCATAAACTGCAGATAATACACTGTTTTTAAAAAATTGTTCTTCTGTGGTGTATCAGTTTCTGTTTGTTTCAGGGAGTTGTACCTGAGGCTCTTGCTGAATGAAGAGGAAGTGGGAAAAGGGTCATCGCTCTTTTCTTTTTTTCTAAGGTCTTAAAAAAATAAACCTTTTAGTTTATAATTTTAGAGAGGCTGTGAAGGTAGAGTTTCCACACCCAGTTTCCCCTGATGCTAACATCTTAGATTAGTGAGGTACATTTATTAGGATTAATGAACTAGTGTGATACATAATTATTAGCTAAAGCCCACTTTATTCAGTTTTTCTTAGTTTTTCCCTAATTCCTTACTTCTGTTCCAGGATTCCATCCAGAATCCCACATGACATTTAGCCATCATGTGTCCTTAAGCTTCCCTAAGCTGCGACCGTTTCTCAGACTTCCCTTATTTTTGCTGACCTTTACTTTCTGTCTTTTTTTTTTTTTTTTTTTTTTGAGATAGAGTTTCGCTCTCATTGCCCAGTCTGGAGTGCAGTGGCGTGATCTCGGCTCACTACATCCTCCGCCTCCTGAGTTCAAGCGATTCTCTGCGCCCACCCAGTGACCTTTACATTTTTGAGAAGTACTTGTTACTGAGTTTTAAGAATGTTACTGAGCCTGTTATTTTCTTATTAAATACTTCTTCAGGCTGACTGCATATGTTCCTCCTCATTAATTGCCATGGGGCAGAACAAGGAGCCCTAATCTCTATTACTGAAGCGTGGTATGAGCCCAGAGGAAACCCTTGTGATGTAATAATGCCCAGAGTTCATTCTCTTTAGGAAATCTAATGCAAATAGCTGGGCATGGTTGCTCACACTTGTAATTTCAGCACCTTAGGAAGCCGAGGCAGCACAGTCACCTGAGGTCAGGAGTTCGAGACCAGCCTGGCCAACATGGGGAAACACTGTCTCTACTAAAAATACAAAAATTAGCCAGGCATGGTGGTGCATGCCTGTAGTCCCAGCTCTTCAGGAGGCTGAGAGAGGAGAATTGCTTGAACCCAAGAGGCAGAGGTTGCAGTGAGCTGAGATCGCGCCGCTGTACTCCAACCTAGGTGACAAAGTGAGACTCTGTCTTCAAAAAAAAAAAAAACAACAAAAAAAAGAAATCTCATACAAAACTCCACTTCAAGGCCAAGGCCAAGGCCAAGGCCAAGTGTGGTGGCTCACACCTGTAATCCCAGCACCTTGGGAGACCAAGGCAGGAGGATCACTTCAGGCTAGGAATTTGAGACCAGCACAGGCAACACAAAATGGCAAGACCCTGTCTTTGTAAACAAACAAACAAACAAACAAACAAAAATCCTACTTCAAGAGAGAGTCAGACTAGTGATTATCCTGTGAGAGCCTAAGTTCACATAAGGTGAAAATAATCTCAATGGGTGAAAACTGCAAAAGAAAGAAAACAAAAATGTTGTGTTTTAGGTTTGTGGCCTGAGACTGTAAGCAAAAGGACCTGTCTGATATGGGCTACTCTCTAGTTTTGTGATGAGTCCCCTTGGCACCATAGCTGATGAGACAGGGGCTCTCTCAATCCTGGAGCCGCTGCCACTTGAGAGGTTTGGTGATTCTGGGAACACCTGTCTAGGGTGGGGGTGGGGCATGGCTCAGAGGATGGTGGTCTATGTAGGGTCCAAGTCTTATTTCAGGTGCTTGGCACAAAAAAGGTAGTCAATTGATTTTTTTTTTAAAGTCAAAGAATAAACAGTGGCACAGATAGTGTCATTGAATACAACAGTCTTTGTTATTTTCAGGAACATTGAGGCCTAATATCAAACCCAACCTGTAATTTTTATAAATGGAACATGTTATTGATTTGTGTGATTATGCTAGCATGCAGAAAGTTTCTTTGTTAGACGTTCGTTTATTTAGTCAGCAATTATGTACATGTGCCTTCAACATATATTTAAGAATCTAATCTGGGTTAGATTCTATAAGAGGCTATAAAGATATTAATCATAATCCCTAGACTTGATAGGCTTTTTGTCTAGTTTGAGAGACAACTTGTGCAACATAGGATATCACACAAGTGGTACAGATAAGCTTCTATATGAGAGAATAACCTCCAGCTAGACATTCTGCAAAACCACAGTTTTTTATATTTTAAAAGTATGAATTATTAGGTGATTTCAAAAAGGACTTGTGGGCTCTGACTCCAGGCACTCAATACTTTGAAGGGCTTCATATTAGCTATAGTCACTCAATTGTGCTATGCTTTCCTGAGGAGATGTAAGGCACTAGCCACTCATAAACATGACCTTTTGGTGATAGGAGAAAGTAAATAAATGTCTCAGAAAAGTATGAATTTTATTTCTAGTTTTTGCAAGAATCTGAAAGTATTGTGCCTGTAAAAACACTGGCACCGTAGATGACATGCTGGAATTATTGCATGAAAATCCTACAGGGTTGGAGTGTTTAGGTTATCTGGTTAATTTGGATCTTGCAAGGAAATCTGTTTTTATACAAGTTATTAAAAACTTTTCAAAGGAGCATTTTTACCCTTTTAATTCTTGTGAAATTAATTATCTTTTTGACAATGGAATATCTCAGGGTTTATCCAAGTCATTATTATGGATGGTCCCTGGTTCATTTTTTTCAAAATATTCACTCTTACTCTAATAGATTATGTTTCTTGAGAGCTGGGACCATATCTTTTACACACCCAGTGCTAAAGCAATAGTACCAACTCAATAAATGTCAATTGAATGAGCAGGTCCCTAGCTCAGTGCCTTGCACAAAACTGGAACTTAATGTTTGTTGATGGGGTGAAGAGGGGGATACTTATGAAGGGCCACATTCATGGGAAGTGGATACTGAGACAGAGGTGGGTGAGTCAAAGGTTTATTGGGCAGTGACAACTGTGACAGTCCAGGGTATGAAGCAGAAGCAGTATCAGGCAGGAGGAGCCATCTGACCTCGATGAAGGAGGCGGGACAAGGAGGAGAAGCTCTGGAGGAGCTCAGGAGCAAAACTTACCAGCTAGAGGAGTGCCTTATAGAGAGAAAAGGCCAGGCTCTTGCTCTGCCCCTGCTCAGCGGTGGACGGACAGCCCCAAGAGAAGAGGCAGCCCTGGCCCGGGATGCCAACATGCAGCCTGAAAGAGCTGCAGCTAGAAGCTGTCAGGCGACAAAGCTCCAAGCCTGACGCTGGGCCTGAGTTCTTTGTTAAAGGTGGGGGAACCTGCATAGTGCATCTTCTAGACACGTGTGTGACGGGACTTGTAAAATGGCTCTATTTTGGATGCTTCATGGTGTATATACATTGAAACCTTTTTTGAACGCATATTATTCTGTACCAGCAACATTTTCAGAATTTCTGTGAATTATTTGAATACTAGAGGAAATTTGAATCTATCTTTTTTTTTTCAGACCAGTTATCTTTCAGGGAAATAATATTTTAGTCCGTAATAAATATTAATATTAGTCTTATTATTCTTTAAATTTATGGGTTAGGCATTTTTCTCTTTTCCTAAAATTATTTTAAATCAAATCTTTCTGAACCTCTGTTTCTTCATCTTTAAAATAATTACGATAAAAGCATTATACTAGCAAATTGTTACAGGATTAAATAAGAGAACATGTGTAAAGTGAAAAGTATGATGCTGGGAACATTCAATACATGTTCATTCAAAAGACACAGGAAAGAAGGAAAAAGAGCTCATGTTCAGAACTAGTACGGACTAGCCCTTCCTAGGTGTCTTCATTCATTTTGTGCTGCTATAACAAAAAAGACCTGAGACGGGATTATTTATTTCTTACAGTTCTGTCTTGGAAATCCAAGATCAAGGCCCCCACAGGTTTGGTGTCTGGTGAGGGCAGCACTCTGCTTCCAGGATGGCATCTTGATGCTGTGTCTTCACATGGCAGAGGGCAGAAGGGCAAAAGGGATGAACTCTCTTTGTCAAGTTTTGTTATTAGGGCATCTAATCCCATTCAGGAGGGCTCCACCATTGTGACTTAATTACCTATTCAGGCCCCACCTCTTAATGCTGTGACATTGGTGAATATATTTCAGCATGAATTTTAGAGGGGACACAAACATTCAAACCACAACACTAGGTGAGAACATTAGACTCTTGGCACAGCCTCCATGAAACAAGCCTTAGCTTTGGAAAAATGTGTTTTAGAAATTCCAAGCTTCTTGCTTTCCTGCCATCATCTATAAGCTTCTTGCTTTCCTGCTGTCATCTATTTACTGATTTATGTGATCCCTCTACCCGCCCCCCCCGATATCTCTTGGGAAAAATAATGATGTTTTTGACATTTTATAAGTGTGCTTCATGAAACAATGCAATCAATTCTTCATGTAATAAAGATATAGGCAAATTTTGACATAAAATAAAAGAAACTTGTTTTTGGGTGAATTTCAGTACTGATGTCAGTGCTTTAGTAGAAGAAATCCAGAAGGCAGAACCTCTAATCACAGCTTCACGAACAGAGCAAGTCAAACTTTTGATACAGAGGTTACAAGAGAAACTTGGCCAGCACAGCAATCACACATTCTATCTTTTTAAGGTAATGGATTTACAAAAATATCAGATAGAAGAATTTCAGTGAAATGACTGATATTTTATTTATTTTTCTTTCCCTAAAAATATTTTTCCATGAAAAATGCATGTCAGTGATTGACTGTAGTGCCTCACATGTTTGCTAAGATTGTCCCAATAATTATTTGTTAAATGAATGAGTAAAATCCAAAACACTTATTTCTTGAGAGGTTAAATAAAGATTTCAGCTCCTCATATAATGATAAATTTAAAGGGTTATTATTATTAAGATAGTTTTAAGTTATGGAATAAGTAAAGCTTTTTTCTAGTTAAAGTAACATTAAGAAGTGTTTTATGACAAATCAACATTTCATATTTTCTGCTTTCATGTGAACTAAACCATATTTCAGTAAATTATTTATTTTTATGGCATGTAATTTTAATGTGATGTAAATATGCTTTTTAAATAGTTTTTTGATGATTAAATATAGCAAATATAGTCATTTAGTACTTCAAGAAAAGCTTTTAATTTTCCTTTGTCATTATCTTAGAATTACTTCATATTACGCTGCTTTTATCTTTTATGATTTAAATATAATTATGATAATAAAATATAATTATTAGTTATATACTCACCTGATAACAAAATATCCAGGCATTTGTTTCTGGAAGAGGATGTTACAGTCTTTTAACATTTCTTTGTCCAGCAGGTGGCACTGTTTCATTTCAAATATGAGCTATATAGCAAGCATGTCTCATAATTTATTCTCCAAAGGGAATATTTTTGATAGTGAAAGTACATGCTATTAATAGTTACATTTTGGTAACAGACATAACTTGGACTGTCCCAGCCCAGCCAATCACTCTTAATAGACTGTCCAATCTATGTATATGCGTTCAACAAATATTCATGTAACATTCACTGTGTGTTAGATGTTGTAGGGATTGAAAGATAAAGAAGACATATTCTGACTCTAAAGGAGCTTCAGGATTCATAAAGTAATAATACATTGTCAAATCTTGATTGAAACATATTTAGTGTATTGCCTATATACCCAGTCTATACATATGTACAAATCACATCCATATGTAAAAGAAAATGTTACCAATTAGTGCTATCAATAAGATACCACATAGCACTAATTGGTAACACTTAGTGGTATCAATAAGATGCCACATACCACTGTCTAAAGGTAAATCCGATGTATAATTAAGACAAAATTGAATGTCTTCATTGGTTTGAAGTTATAACTAACAAATTAAATTTAATTTGGCTTGAGTCTAAAAAATGGTGTTTTCTTTCACTGAAGGTTCTCAAAGCACATATATTGCCACTGACTAATGTTGCACTTAACAAATCCGGCTCATGGTAAGATTCTCTTTTTGTATCTAATTTTTAGCAATGAAACCAATTTCTGTGTTTATCAAAGATTCCAGTTTGCTAAGTACATAATACATTCATTTTTCTGATTTCAGTACCCTCTTGGATATTGAGGAGAAATATAAGCCCTTTCTCCCACTATTCTAATCTGAGTTTTCTGTCATATTCGTGCCACAGTGATTGGGAGGCATATTGGATTCTCAGGCAATGTAGCTTGTGAAGAACTCAACTCAGAAATGAGTCGGGCAGGGTGGCCTCATATCTAACTTGATTGGTTGTGATCAGTCTATTCAGAGCAGGCGTTTTCCATCTAGGTCAGTGGTTTGGGGTATGGCGAACAGCAGCTTCAAGTCTCTATTGAGAGCATGGCTGTGATCAGCTTGGGAGCTGACATGCTAGGTAGGAGAGATGAGGGAGAAGCCTCCTCTTGACCTGCAGACATAAAATAAACATAAAATAGACATACAATAAGCAGTTTGCTAGGGCTTCCATAATAAAGTAGCACAAACGGAGTGGCTTACACAACCAAAATTTATTGTGTCACAGTTGTGGAGGTTAGAGGTCAGAGGTCAAGGTGTCATCAGGGTCAGTTCCTTCTGAGGCCATGGGAAAGAAGCTGTTCCACAGTTCCTGTAGCTTCTGGTGGTTTGCCGGTCATCTTTGATGTGGAGAAGCATCACCCTGAGCTCTGCTCTCATCTTCACATGGTTTTCCTTGTGCGTGTCTGTGTCTATATGGCCTGTTCTTATATAGACGTATTGAATTAGGGCCCACCCTACTGCGGCATGATCTCATCCTAATGTAACTAACTCTTTTTTTTTTTTTTTAGAGTTTCACTCTTGTTGCTTAGGCTGGAGTGCAATGGCGTGATCTTGGTTCACTGCAACCTCCAGCTGCCAAGTTCAAGCGATTCTCCTGCCTCAGCCTCCTGAGTAGCTGGGATTACAGGAGCCTGCCACCACGCCCAGCTAATTTCTTGTATTTTTAGCAGAGATGGGGTTTCTCCATGTTGGTCAGGCTGGTCTCGAACACCTGACCTCAGGTGATCTGCCTGCCTTGGCCTCCCAAAGCACTGGGATTACAGGCGTGAGCCACCGCGCCCGGCCCTAACTTAACTGTTAATAATTATATCTGTAATGACCTTATTTCCAAATAAATTCATATTCTAAGGTTCTGGGGGATTAGGACTTCAACATATAAATTTAGAGGGCTTATATTTCAACCCATAAAAGTATCTATAGTATATATGTGTATAGTTGCAAATGTGTGTTTGCATCTATCCAAAGGTAGAGAAAGTCTGTGGGAGAAGATGGTAGAAGGAAAATAACTAGGAGAAATCAAAGATACCTTGTCTTGTCAACCTGCCTGTTTAGTTGAGTTTTGCTATTAGACTTTTCTTCACCTTTTCTTGTTACCACTTGACATTCAGACTGGCTTTTCAATTCTGTGGATTGTTTTCTGTGCTGGGGAAATATATTTTTGTTTTACTTTTGAAGCAATATTTTGATTTCAGAGATATTTTAAAAAGAAAGTCTCTTTCCTAATTGAATATTGAAGGAATGATTAAGATGCTGCTATTTTACATTATACTTGACTCACTATTCCTGTAGGAGAATGTTAAAGGAACCATTCATTTCTTAAACAGAATATAGGCCAGGTGTGGTTGTGCACACCTGTAATCCCAGCACTTTGGGAGGCCGAGGCGAGCAGATCACGAGGTCAGGAGTTGGAGACCAGCCTGGCCAACATGGTGAAACCCCATCTCTACTAAAAATAAAAATAAAAATTAGACAGGCGTGGTGGTGTGTCTCTAATTCCAGCTATTCAGGAGGCTGAGGCAGGAGAATTGCTTGAACTTGGGAGGTAGAGGTTGCAGTGAGCTGAGATCGCGCCACTGCACTCCAGCCTGGGCGATAGAGCAAGACTCTGTCTCGGGGGTGGGGTGAGGGTGGGGGTGGAACAACGGAATATATCACAATTTAGATATTGTTCTCAATTTAACTTTTTATTCTGCACACATGATTTCCATTGTAAAAAGCATAATAGGCCAGGCGAGGTGTGTCACACCTGTAACCCCAGCACTTTGGGAGGCTGAGACAGGCGGGTCACCTGAGGTCAGTAGTTCAAGACCAGCCTGACCAACATGGTGAAACCCCATCTCTACTAAAAACAGACACAAAAATATAGCCAGGCATGGTGGCGGGTACCTGTCATCCCAGCTACTCAGGAGTTTGAGGCAGGAGAATCACTTGAACCTGGGAGGTAGAGGTTGCAGTGAGCCGAGATCATGCCATTGCACTCCAGCCTGAGTGACAGAGCGAGACTCTCTCTCAAACAAACAAACAAACAAACAGCATAATAAATAGGGTTATTATCCTGCAGGTAAAACATGAAGTGTTTATTAACACACAGCCATTCTTCCCTGCAATGCATTTATATTCTTTGTGTTAGCTTTATCACAGGAAGCTACGATCGGACGTGCAAGCTCTGGGACACTGCGTCTGGAGAGGAGCTGAACACCCTGGAGGGCCACAGGAATGTGGTTTATGCCATAGCATTCAACAATCCTTACGGGTGTGTTCATCCTTTCACGTATTTGTTCATTAATTCATTTATTCATCCTTCCATCTGCTTGGGGAGAAAGGGAAGCAGACAAGAGGTCTAAATGGACTGAGTGCTTGGTATGTGCTTTGGAAGCCTTTTAAATGCCTCCTTCAATACTTAAAGGGGTCTTTGGGTTACCTATCACTATCCTCATACAGAATACAAGGTTTACGACCAGGCGCGGTGGCTCATGCCTGTAATCCCAGTACTTTGGGAGGCCGAGGCGGTGGGTCACTTGAGCTCAGGAGTTTGAGACCAGACTGGCCAACATGGTGAAACCCCATCTCTACTAAAAATTCAAAAATTAGCTGGGCTAATGTATGTACTGTATGGTGGCGCATGCCTGTAGTCCCAGCTACTCTGGAGGCTGAGGCAGGAGAATCACTTGAACCCAGAAGACGGAGGTTGCAGTGAGCTTAGATTGCACCATTGTACTCCAGTCTGGGCAATAGAGTGAGACTCTGACAAAAAAAGAAAAAAGAAAAAAAAAAAGAATACAAGGTTCAAGTATGCTTCCAAGGATCACATGGTAATAAAGAGGAGAGCTGGAGTTCATGCTCAGGCAAGAATTGACTCTCAACCCTTGGAAGTTCTGACAGGCACTGTGTATTGATGTTCACAGCTCTGGGCTGGTGCCTCTGGGGGAATGTGACATGCACACACAGCATGGTTTACTTCATTTAGAAGTTAATTTACAGTCTTGCCAGGCAGGATAAAAACGTGTGTGGCAACATGCCAACATGCTAAATAACAGTACCAAGTACAACAGAAATATTTTCAAACCAACCTCTAGATAATTGACAGGAGATTAACCCAGTGTCCTCTATTCTTCCTCACGACTGATTCCCACGGCACCCTGAACATCTGTAGCAATGAAGATACCCACTGGAATGGGCATTCTCCTCCCACTGGTTAGGTTCTAAACTGATCAAGAGTTAGTTGTATTTGTCGACCAATGTGCTTATGTTGGTTGTGCTTTCAATTGTAATTGTGTAACATAACGTGTAATTTAACTAAATATTACATAAACTAATAAAATATGAGTGGAAAAGAAACCTGGTCTTTCCTAGGGAAGCACAGATAAGGCAAATCTTTGAAAAATTGTTTCACAACTAAATGAAGTTGTGGATGAGATCAGTGTTCAATTGGAAAGCATACTGTCAAAATCTAGAAAAATTCTGCACTCAGATTGTTCTGCACGTATGTTTAAGTTCTTTAAGTTCTCATTCCATTTGCAAGAAAAGAAAACTAGATATTGTAGAGGTTTGATAACATTTCTGAAAGACAAATGGTGAACTCCACTTAGCTGACACATAATCAAAGAAGACAGTGCCCTCTTGTGAAAAGATTGGCAAATAAATATATATTTATATCTAGTGGAGTATACATTTTTTAGACAAGCATGTATGTTTTCATGATTGCACATGCTAAATGAATTTTTCCATGGATGAAGCTGGTTCTATAAATGCGGCTCATTTACTATAGTGTTATGATGACTAGAACAAAACAGTAAATGATTTAACAATTAAGAGAAGAGATCACTGTGATTTCTCCCGGTGAGAGTCTTTAGAGATGGTGTGAGCTGAAAGCGGAAGCCAGAAGGATGAAGGTGGTGAGCAGTGGAGAGGACGCACAGAGCAAAGAGACCTCAGCAGCTCGGTGTTTCAAGGAGGGGATTCATCAGGCACACTCAGTGGCCAGTCTCTGCAGCGAGCATTTCATGTTGAGAAACAGAAGTGTGTGAGGTCAGAGCATTCGGTGGAGTTTAAACTCTGTCCTGTAGGACTGAGTTGCCATCAAGGGTTTAGGAACAAAAAGTGGAACAATGAAAGTGATGTTTTAAATGGAAGGATAGCTCTGGCAGAGAGAAGAGGTCAGAGGGTTTGGATGTAGAAGAAACAGGACACAAGGAGGTCATTTAGGATGCAGATGCAACAATACACTCGTGATAAAGTAATACACTCATTGCCTGGGTAGGGGCAGAAAGAATAGAGGAATTTCATAAAAATTTGATACACTTAGAATAGACATTTTATACTATAGTTTAAAAACTTGTTATCTAGGTTGCCCATATCATATCTGTAAAAAATGTAATACCCTTTCAAAACATGTTAATTGTGATGGCACCAAACTTAAATTGGTACATTAAAATGATTAAACATTCCAATTAAGTTTTAGAAAGTTTAACTTTGATCTATGCATTTTTATATTCCAGAGAATGACAGTTTTTATAATACCTTATTACACCAGCTTATGAAAAGATAAAGATTTTATTGAAATTATAAATGACACTATTTTACTTCTGGTATAATTCCTACTTTCATTGCAATGCTATTTAAAGGGTATTCTCTATAAAACAACGCCATATCCTTTAATAGTCTACTTAACAAACGTGATGTGTTTGGGCGTCTATCTGAGAATGATGTTTTCTCTTGTTGGAGAGGTGAGGGATACTTTTTGACCCTTCAACTGAATTCTACCAAGAGCCCCTGATGAAAACCCCCCTTGTCCAATCAGTTATCCTCGCCTGATGATTCATGTATGCGTGAATGCAGTGTTTCTCATTGCACTTTGGGGTCACTGGGGTTTCGGTAGCATGAATTCAACACAATCACCAAAGAATAAGAGGGAGTGTGTGTGTGTGTGTGTGTGTGTGTATGTTTATTAGAGAGAGAGAGAGAATAAAACTTCAACCAAATTTACTGTTTATCTGCTTTATACCTTAGGGCAGGTGTAAGCTTTGATTCAATGCAGTAATTCTCAAACACATTGACATGAGACATATTGTTGCGGGAAGTCAGGGACCCCGAACGGAGGGACGGGCTGAAGCTGTGGCAGAAGAACATAAATTGTGAAGATTTCATGGACATTTATTAGTTCCCCAAATTAATACTTTTATAATTTCTTACACCTGTCTTTACTGTAATCTCTGAACATAAATTGTGAAGATTTCATGGACACTTATCACTTCCCCAATGAATATCCTTGTGATTTCCTATGCGTGTCTTTACTTTAATCTCTTAATCCCGTCATTTTCTTTGTAAGCTGAGGAGGATGAACGTCGCCTCAGGACCCTGTGATTGTATCAACTGCACAAATTGTTTGTAGAGCATGTGTGTTTGAATATGAAATTTGGGCATGTTTAAAAAAGAACAGGATAACAGCGATGTTCAGGGAACGAGAGAGGTAACTTTGAACTGGCCACCGGTGAGCCGGACGGAAACAGAGTTATATTCCTCCTCTTTCATAAGCAAATAGGAGAAATATCGCTGAATTCTTTTTCTCAGCAAGGAACATCCCTGAGAAAGAGAATGCGCCCTGAAGCTAGGCTTATAGACGGCCCCTTTTTAAGGCGTCCCATCTTTTATGGTCGAAGCCGATGGCATGAAATAAGCCCCGGTCTCCTATAGCGCTCCCAGGATTAGTAGGATGGGAAAATTCCCATCTAATAAATTGTGGTCAGACAGGTTATCTGCTCTCAAACCCTGTTTCCTGATAAGATGTTATCAATGACAATGCATGCCCGAAACTTCATTAGCAATTTTAATTTCACCTCATCTGGTGGTCCTGTGATCTCGCCCTGCCTCCATTTGCTTTGTGATATTTTCTTACCTTGTGAAGTGTGTGATCTCTGTGACCCACACCCTATTCGTGCACTCCCTCCCATTTTGAAAATCGCTAATAAAAACTTGCTGGTTTTATGGCTCGGGGAACATCATGGATCCTGCTGACATGTGATGTCTCCCCCGGACACCCAGCTTTAAATTTCTCTCTCTTGTGCTCTTTCCCTTTATTTCTCAACCCAGCCGAGACACTTAGGAAATAGAAGAGAACCCACGTTAAACATCGGCAGTAGGTTCTCCCAATAAGATATCTTCTATAACGTGGTGTCATATGGATATAGAGAACAGTTGGTGATAGAATAGATATCAGTCAAGAAACAACAGCAACTCCAGACTCATATGTTTGAGGGGCAGGAAGGGTGAAAAAAAATTGAGGGAACTGATAAAGAATGTACATAATGAGAACTCATCTCTCCAAAAAAATAAAAAATATTAGCCAAGCATGGTGACATGTACCTGTAGCCCTAGCTACTCAGGAGGCTGTGGTGGGAGGATTGCTTGAGCTCTGGAGGTTGAGGTTGCAGTGACCTGAGATCGCACCACTGAATTCCAGCCTGGGCAACAGAATAAAATTCTGTCTCAAAAAAAGAAAAAAAAAAAAAAAGTGCAAGGCTTTGAGCTTATCTTGAGCACATATTGGAAGACATCAGCAGCTGAAGTAAAATGCCCTGGGCTGGATGCCAGAGGAGAAAGCCTGGTCAGATACGCTGTTAGGAAGCTTTGGGTGGGTGAGTGTTTGCCAGTACAAGCTGCCCTTCCATCATTGACAAAGAGGGTGCCACTTTGCTTTAGTCTGAGAGACCACGTAGACACTACAGAAATATGGGTATCCAGGGACGAGGGAGAGAATGAAGGCATCAGTGTTAGTCTGGATAAATATAAATTTCTAGTCTGCTTTAGGATATATGTGTTGGTGAGATCTCTTACACTTTGGGAAAATGAGCTTGTGCTGTAAATGATAATCCAATTGAGTGAACATCTTGAATTGCTGATATAAAAGACAGATGTAAGCCAGGGTTAAAAGGAAAGGTTTTAGTTCCAAGATCAAAGGCCAAACAGGGTAATCTACTCTTGCTTGTTGGATGTTGACGACAGCCCTGCCCCTCAGTCAATGTGAGAAGCCTCTTAGTTGAAAGTCACTGAAGTCTTTGTATTTCCTTTCTAAGCCCTCATACAACTGGAATAATATAGGCATTATTTCCTTAAGAGGACAAGCACTGTCTAAATTCTCAAAACCTTATTAACCATATTTTTAATGGGATTTATCTTTTTTCATTTTTCTTTTACATTCAATGTTATTCTTTTCCATATACTTATTAACAGAATTTTTCTGTGTTTACACAGTTCATACTATACGTTATTTATTTTAATTTGTAAGTAATTTTCTAAACTAAACCTTTTGCTACATTCATTAAACCCGTTTTAAAAATTGTTATAATCCCTGTAAACTGGTTCAACCATTGTGGAAAACAGTATGGCGATTCCTCAAGGACCTAGAATTAGAAATACCATATGACCCAGCCATCCCACTACTGGGTATATACCCAAAGGATTATAAATCATGCTGCTATAAAGACACATGCACATGTATGTTTACTGTGGCACTATTCACAATAGCAAAGACTTGGAATCAATCCAAATGTCCATCAGTGACAGACTGGATTAAGAAAATGTGGCACATATACACCATGGGATACTATGCAGCCATAAAAAAGGATGAGTTCATGTCCTTTGTAGGGGCATGGATGCAGCTGGAAACCATCATTCTCAGCAAACTATCACAAGAACAGAAAACCAAACACCGCATGTTCCCACTCATAGGTGGGAATTGAACAATGACATCACTTGGGCTCTGGAAGGGGAACATCACACACCAGGGCCTATTATGAGGAGGGGGTGGGAGGAAGGATGGCATTGGGAGCTATACCTGATGTAAATGACGAGTTGATGGGTGCTGACGAGTTGATGGGTGCTGATGAGTTGATGGGTGCAGCACACCAACATGGCACAAGTATACGTATGTAACAAACCTGCACGTTGTGCACATGTACCCTAGAACTTAAAGTATAATAATAAAAAAAAATTGTTATAATCCCAAACAAACATACCTATAACTTTGAAACCTTTAAAATTAAATGTGTAAATTGATACCACTCAAAAATTAGACTTTTATTATCCACTGAAACAAATTTAAGATTGCTTATAGCTTTAGAAGTGAAGTAAATTTTTTACTCATGTATTAACATCTCTTATCTTAGTTCAGTTTATTATATAATGTGTCTTTTTTTAAATATTCCACATTTCTTTTAAATCTTAGTGACAAAATTGCCACTGGGTCCTTTGATAAAACTTGCAAACTCTGGAGTGTAGAAACAGGAAAATGTTACCATACCTTCAGGGGTCATACAGCAGAAATAGTGAGTATATTTAACAATTTATTATTATATTTTATGTTGCTGTTTCTTTTTAGGATTCTATTATAAAAGTAGCCCCACTACTTTTATGATTAGTTTTCAAATTCTACCCCATGTTTTTAGTCTGCCTATATTTATATGGTGGTACTAATACAGTTTAAAATTACTCTAGTTAATATCTTGCAGATTCTATAAAGAATTGTATCCTGCATTGACTAAGTAGACATGTAATATGATACATTTATAAATATAATAACCAATTACTTGTTATAACTTATAATAACCAATTATGATACATTTATAAATATATAACCAAATATAAATTACTTTTTCTTTTTCATTGACTTTTCTTTAAAGTACTGACTCAATGAGGGTCAATTAAGTGATAAAAACAGTTTTTAATATAATTTTTAAACTACTATATGAAATATTTAGGCTGATTGTTCTCTGTGTATCATTAGAGCCCAAATTTGCATGAATAGTCTGATACTCGAAACAGCTTTCACTATTGGGAAGCCCTTTTCCTTGACCAATTCTGAGATGTATCTTATAACAATTAGTGTAATAATTGGCATTCTGTAAGAACAGATGACAGCTCTTAAAAATAAACAGGCTGCTGCTCCTAATGATTAGTAATACCTTAAATGTTTTTAATCAAAGATTTAAACAAGGAAAAATTGATCTGATTTTAACAAATCCCCAAGTTCTGTTTTGGCCTGTTAGTGGGGATCACCCCTTTCCCTCCATTTCTGGCCTTCATTAGGTAGAATGATTCTTTAGATATTTAACTCACTTCCCTTGTTGTACTTTGAAGTTACTCTTAAGTGGATAATACCAGAAGAGAATCCACAAATAGAAGGTACCCAATGCAGTAGTGGTATAAAAATAATAGAGACTTTTAAGGGTGAAAGAGAGAAAAGGCTAAAGCAGGAAACAAAATATAACCACTTTTCCCATAATTGTCAGTAGGGAAATATAGCTCAGTACTTTTTGAATTGAACAGAGACATAAAAAGAATGTGCTAGTAACTATTATTAGATGAAGAAGGGAAATTGATAACAAAGAGTGATGGGTCTTTTAATCTCAATATTCACTGGAAAAAAAGATACCTGCTGTGAACCAGAAAAAGCAAACAAGAACATACAGGGGTGGAGGGAGGGAAAGCAAGCCACGGCGGTGACAGCTTTTGTGAATAGTTGGTGACAGCCAATCTGCCAGCAGTGTTCAAGTTCTAGCACCCACACCCACCCCTGGAACTGAGGAACAAGATACTTAGGACAGACTGTAGAATGCTTGGAAATATTTCTTGAGGATAAGAAAGTTACCTGTAGGTGGGAAAGGGTCCTGTATCCTGCTAATTTATGTACACCTTAAACAAAACAAGAACAAAAGCGGTCTGCTTATTTTAGAAGTAAAATTCATTTACACTCATCCTAAACATTCATGGTGTATTAATCCACCAATAACTCATGCTCTGTTGAAGGTACTTTGCTAGTGACTGGGAATACTGCAGTGAAATATAACTGACCCTTTGACAGCTCTTGCTGTTTGAGAGGCACTGTCCTAAGCCCCTTTACACAGACAGGTATTAGCTTAGTTGTGCCTCATAGCAACCCTAAGAGGAAGGTATTTCCCCATTTTACAGAGTAGGGTACTGAGGCATTGAAAGCTTAAGTAACTTGCCCAAAGTCAAAGAAAAACATAGTGCGTGTTCTTAGAGTGTGACCATTTTCCCATACTCTTTTAGATTTTGGGAAATATTTTCTTTATATATAATTCCTAGGGAGACGTTCATCTTTTTCAGTCAACATTCATCCAATAAATATTTATTAAATATTGACTATGTGTGGAACCCTGGCCTACATGCTTAGGGTACCTGAGAGAATCAGACACAGTTCTTACAATTTAATAGAAGGAGTAAAAGCATCAGTGGATAAGTTCAAAGATGTGTTGTAAGTGTCAGAAGTGGATGGGGATTTCAGTGTGGACACAGAGGGAGCAGTGCGGCCTCCTGAGCCAGGGAAAGGTGTTCAGGAAAGACTTTCCAGCGGGGTGGCATGTGCATTCCAGGCAGAGCGAGCAGTCCTGGCAAATGCTGAGAAGTGGCGTGTGCCTGAAACTCAGGTGGCTCTGTGTCATCAGAGCAGAACTTCCGGACCCTCCACGTGGTGCCATGTGCAGAATATGCAAATATGGATTTGCAGCACACTGAGGGGAGCTGCCTGCTGTGCATGGCCAGAGGTGATGGGCAAGGATCCCTGCTGCTGCCCAGCTGCCTGGGTTAACAGTGTCCATGCCTTAGCACACCTATAGCCCATTCAAATTCAGATCACAGGGTGTGAGCACTTAAAGTAGGAGAGGCAGGCAAGGGCCATATTATGCAGGAGGTTATATACTATGCTAAGGAATTGGATTTTATTTTGCAGGTAATGCCACACTGTTGAGACTTTTTGGCTAGGAGATGGTATGATCATCTGTGCTCTTTGGAAGGATTATTTTTGTGCAGTGTGAAAAAGAAATGGGAGGGTGGTAAGATCAGCGTTATCAGCCAGTTGGGGATCTTGCTGCAATCCAAGTGAAAAATGATGAAGGCGTGTTGTAAAGATGGATGAAGAGAATGTGAGTAGAACCTGGTTACTAAGTAGTTATGAGGCATAAAAGAAAAGGGAAACCCAGGATGGATTCCCTGATTTTGTGCTTGCATGATGGGCAGTGCCATTCACCAATTCTGTGCATGAAAGAGGAGGAACAGGTTTGCACTGGTATGACTTTTGTGTCTTAGATTGATATAAGCTGCCTGTGTGATAGCCAAACAGAGGCATCCATTTAGCAGTTGGCACTTTAGGGCTGGAACTGAGCAGTGAGGTCTGGGAAAGAGACTTGGATGCATGAGTCACTGGTATCTGGGTGTCAGTAGAAACCAATGAGCAATTGAAATTGCCTAGAGGAAAAGGTAGAGTGTGGAGAGGAGACTGACAGAACCTTGGGAGGATAGAGAAGAGAGAACTTCAAATGATACAAAAAGAAAAAAGAAAAACAAGGAGAAAGAGAGGGAAACTAGAAAACAAAGGAGTCAGTGCTGCAGATGTCAGGGAGGTTAAGTGGGATGACTGACCAAACCTGGATTGGACATTTAGCCAGAGTGGTTTCAGAAGAGTTAAGAGTGAGCAGAAGATGGACAAAAATGGTGGTAGACTGTTTCCCAAGAAATTTGGTTGTAAAGGCGGAAGAAGGGTAGCTAAGAGGGGTACATAAGGTCAAGGGAGGATTTACTCAAACATATTTACAGGTCACTGAAAAGCATCTAGTCTAGAGGGAAGGAAAACTAGTGGGCACATCTCCCCTAGGTGTGCAGGGAAGGGGGTCTTAGAATAGGTGGAAGGATCCCTCTGCATCTGAGACTGAAGGGAAGGAAAGTAAGATCCAAGTAGGGAAGTTCCTACCTGACAGGAGAGTTTTCTTGGGGAAGTGGTAGGAGGCCAGCTTGTCTGTTGAGGAGGGGTGAGGATGGAAGTAGAGGCAGGAGTGGGGAATGGGAGAATGTATGGAGCCAGAGGCATCCCTACAAAGTAGGGAATGGTGCTGAGGACTCTGTTGAGGACAGAGGCATAAATGAGCAATACCAGTAACTTTCTGTGCAGTTCTCTTAAGCTACCTTGGCTGGGTGATGAGGCAGGGAGGCAGATGATTGGATAAAATCCTTGCCTGATAAAAGTTAATGTTAGGAGTTTGTATGAAAGGTGCATCAGATAGATAGGGACTAAAAGTGTCGAGGATACTGGCAGGAGTGATGCTTCCAGGGTGTCAGTTGAAAGGGGAGGATGGACCAGGAGAAAAGGCAGATGTCTCAATGAGATAAAAGATCTTCTAGGGGAGGGGAGTGGGAAGGGAAATTGTGACCCTGGATTAGTGAACTGGTGGTGAATCTTCTAGAGAAGATAATACCAGGGTCCATGGTGTGGCCATGGGAGAGACTACTGAAGAGTCGTCTGGGGCATGGGTCTGGGGGAACTGGATGGATTGCCCGTGTGGAGGCCACCTAAGACTTGGCATTGAGACTACAAGCCAGTAGTCTCTTGATGAGTGAGGGGCCATGATTGGAAGGACTGTGGTGACAGCAGCAAGGAGAAGGACAGCCAGATAGCACGGATCTTAAAGGAGGTGGGCTTCACTTTTGTTCTTGTTCTTCTGTGGTCTGGAAGTGGCAAAGGGAGCCAGTGCCCCTCCAAGCCTGAGCTGGGTGCTGTGGGAGAATAAGCAGCCTCTTTTCAAGAGGAGGACTCTGAAAGACTCCACCTGGGGATAGCAGGTCACACATATGTGGTGTTTTGTACAAAGAATTAGGCTGAATCTGGTAAGGTAATTGCATCTGGAAAATTTTCTGTGTATAATGAACACTTTGAAACTCTATCTTCCTAAAATTTCTCCCATTTCATGTAATTTAGGTGTGTTTATCATTTAACCCTCAAAGCACATTGGTGGCGACTGGAAGTATGGACACAACAGCCAAATTGTGGAACATTCAGAATGGCAAGGAAGTTTGCACCTTAAGAGTATGTCATAATGTTAATGAGCCTGTTATTTGTGTTAATTCTTATTTGTGTTTTTGTTACAAAATGAGCTCTAAGTTGGATGTTGTTGAGTTGCTGGTTTTCAGACTGTAGTGGTGAAAGAGTATTCCTACTGGTTTCTGTCTATTCCAAAAGACTTGGGTGGAGGTGCTGGGGAAGTCCAAGGAGCTTTTTATTTTGACTAACTTTAGTCTGCAAAACACATCAACTATAGCTTAGAACCCATCACCATCTCTCTGGCTAAAAGGAAAGCAGGTGGAGGCTGGCACTTTTGGAAGAGGCAGAACTGGAGAACCATGCCAAAAGAATCTTTAAAGCCATGGCTGTGAGCACCCTCTCCTCTGCCCGCTGCTCTTTGAACCATCCTTATCACAAAGTCTGAAATGAGAGAGAGGCAAGTGACCAGAGGGAGAAGGTCAAAGGGCTCTGCCCACAGAGTCAGTGCTGGTGGGGTGTGCTCTTGTGTGTCACCACCATGCGCCCAGCACCTCCCAGTGACCTGCCACCCTCCCCTTCCTCCCGCCCTCCCCTTCCTCCCGCCCTCCCCTTCCTCCCACCCCAGCCCAAGTCACCGCAACAAAAATAGGGTGACCCTATGTTGTAATCAGTGGGAACAGCTGGCTGGGAAATTCAGTTTCCTTGTCCTTTCAAAACTATAAATACATTTTTAAAAACATGATTCGTTTCCTCAGAAAGCTTTTTCTAAGAAAGTTGAAACATGGACCGAGAAAGAAAAAGTTCACCATTTAAAAGTAACAGTAATGGCTTTTCTTTCTTAAATCTGAGCATCTAGCATTATTAGTGTAAGTATACTCTTTCTGTTCTCAGTTCTTTTTCTTTTCTTTTTTTTTAAACAACAACAACAACAACATTACTATCTCTTCTTTCAGGCAAATGTGTAGGGAAAGGCCCCATTAATGCTGCACTTTCAACTAAAATGACTCCTTTTACAGACTGCCTAAGAGCACTGGAAGGGAGGGGTCCTGCTCGGCACACCTGTCTGCGCCAGAGAGTGCGTTTGTTTTGCGTACTTAGAATTCTAATGTTCAACTACATGCATTTTTGTCCTTTGAAATCTATCAGAAATATCCAGTTATAAATCAACTTTTCCATTTCTTTGTATTATTTAAAAATATAATTATGTGAATTTACTAAAATAGTGGAGGAATCAAGGGCTATACGTACTCCAACCAGGATCCCCTTATCAGAGTTTCAGAATCTGCGGTACAGAGGGGTTTCTTCCCATTGTCTCACAGTTTGATTCACTAACACTAGACAGTAACGAGCTGAAAGTCAGGCCGAAGGCAGGAATTTATCAATCGATTTCATGTCAAGTTATCCTAATAATTGCCTTTTTAAAAGTAATTAGTTTTATTCCATACACTGTTTACTTTTGCACACCATGCGTTATTAGCCCATGTAGTCCCCAGCTCTGTAGTGTTTCCAAGACAATGTAAAGGACGTCCTCTTGTTTCCCCAAACACAACCTCTTTCTTTTGTTTTTAATCAACATTATTAGGTTAAATGAACCAGCTGTGTGTAAGTCACTAATTTTAGTAAACTCACAGGATTGTGTAGCTAAAACCTAGTTTTTGAACCTTTCCATCACCCCAAAAAGAACCCTGTGCCCACGTGCAGACACTCCCCATCCTCACCCCAACCAACTGCTGACCTCCCTTCCTAGAGCTCGGCCTTCTCCAGCGTTTCCTTTTAGACTATGATATTGTACACTTGCAGAAATTGTTTTATCTGCCGGTATACTTGACGGTATCTGCTCTTTTTCTAGGGACATTCCGCCGAAATCATCTCGTTGTCATTTAACACCTCAGGAGACAGAATCATCACGGGGTCTTTTGATCATACCGTTGTAGTGTGGGACGCTGATACTGGAAGGTAATTCTTAGTTCTTAAGCATTGTTTTAACCTGGATCAGGGGGTTCAGAAAACCCTCTGTTATTTATTAGCTTAAGCTGCTCTCTATTAACTGTGCTTTGGTTTCCATAAAAATAGTACATATTGAAAATGTAAATTAATTCATTCTTTAATGATATTTCTGATTCACAAAATATGTGCATTCTTGGAATTCTGAGCAAATAATGACGAACAGCAACATAAAAGGAGAATGTTAGCAACAGTCTGGTTACATAGCTACTATTTATTCCAGGGATAATCAAATTTCAATGGCTTGTCATTATGTTAGGCATGAATATCATGTATAAATAAAACTCTTAGTTAATTTCCCAAATTTAATTTAGTCCAAGAACTTCAACTTCCTTCCTAATGATTTTTGGTCCTAGTTGCTAGGAAGTTAACTAAATTAGCATATTTGTGTTGGAAAACTGCTCTTGGATTTGTCTGTGATTTAATAGAGGGGCTAATTATCAGGGGTGCCGACCAAGATGTACGCAACAAGAAATGACAGAGAAAGAAGAACCTTTCAGTTACTTGACGTGTGGTTTCTGAACAACCAGGGTGCACTCATCTGGTATAAGAATACTTCTCATGGCCTTTACTATTTGTTACTCATTTCTTTTTGAAATGTTGCCTTAAGTAACATTATTTTGATAGTTTAAAATCCAAGTACATTTTTGTTAAAATGATATTATTTATTTATTTATTTATTTGAGACAGAGTCTTGCTCTGTCGCCCAGGCTGGAGTGCGGTGGCGCAATCTCGGCTCACTGCAAGCTCTGCCTCCCGGGTTCACGCCATTCTCCTGCCTCAGCCTCCCGAGTAGCTGGGACTGCCGGCGCCTGCCGCCATGCCCGGAGAATTTGTTTGTATTTTTAGTAGAGGTGGGTTTTCACCGTATTAGCAAGGATGATCTCGAACTCCTGATCTTGTGGATCCACAGCCTCGACCTCCCAAAGTGGGAGTGGCTCACACCTGGGATTACAGGTGTGAGCCACTGTGCCTGTCCGAAATTATTAGTAGCTTCTTTTTGAGCACTAGTAAAGCCGTATTTGTTTTGTCATCAAATATATTATTTTATAAAAACCAAAATTTAGATTAGCTTACACAGATGGGCTTGGCCTCGTTATTCATGTGCATATACTGAAGTAAGATATCTTTCACTAACTTTAATTATTTTTGTGTTGTAGGAAGGTAAATATCTTAATTGGTCATTGTGCTGAGATTAGCAGTGCCTTATTCAACTGGGATTGCTCTCTAATATTAACTGGCTCTATGGACAAAACCTGCATGGTGAGCTAAATAAATAAATATTTTTTTTATATTGTGTCTATACTCTTTACTGTGTCAGATATCCATTGTAACATTAACAAATTTCAAAGGTGATATAAAATTAAGATATTAATGTACAAATAATAATTGGTAATTTTTAAAATTTCAAGTTTTGGATTTTCCATATTTGAAGGAATTGTGATGTAAGCAATTTGAATTTCTTCAAGTATATTAAATATCTTATTTGAGAAGGCATTTTATTTTTATTTAATATCCCACTTTTCATTTATAGAACTTCAATTAGTAGAGTGACCGTCAAGGAGCCTCAAACACAATGTTTCCTTGTCCCTAAGTTTCTATACTTAAAAAATGGTTACTAAGAGATTATACTATGGAATTATCATTTGTTTATGTCACAAATATATTACAATTTTATAATGTACTTTTCATTTTCTGACATTGTCATTTTATATGAAGCTCCTAATCATTTGATGTCCTTCCTACAAAAAGAGCAAAACTCTTCCCCAACCAGTAAAGCATACACGTTGAGATATTTTTTCTTTCTTTAATGTAGTGGCAGATTCTAAATGTCTGACTTTGGTTTTCTCTGTGATTAGGGTGTGCCTTCCTTGATGGTTGGCTGTGGTCTCTGGTCATGAATCAAAGTAAATCTAACCGAACATGCGAGAATTACACAAGTAATTTTTGCACAGTTACTTAACCAGCCCTAAGCATGTCATGAAGACCACTGGCCATCTTCACACTTGAGACAGAAAGTCATAGTCTTTTTTTTGTTTTTTGTTTCTTTTAATTGTAGCTGTGGGATGCTACAAATGGCAAATGTGTGGCAACCTTAACAGGCCATGACGATGAAATACTAGACAGCTGCTTTGATTATACTGGAAAGCTTATTGCAACTGCTTCAGCCGATGGTAGGTGATCTGTTCATACTTTTAATTTTTGGAGAGATTTATGCTTTGCTTGATGACCATGCATGATTCTACACTATGGGTCATTTCTCTGATGACCAGCTATGATTAAAAACCATGTCTCATCTCTGTGGTGACCATGTATGGCACAATAATATGTCTATATCATAGAGCTGATAACCACATGTAATGTTATACAATGTCTGTGTCACCTGCTAGATAACCAGGTATGTGAGGTCTTTGTCATCTTCTTAATACCTGTATATGATGCTATATTCTGGGTCATCTCCATGATTATTAGTATTATTATTATTTGGAGATGGAGTCTCACTCTATTGCCCAGGATGGAGTGCAGTGGCGTGATCTCAGCTCAATGCAACCTCCGCCTCCCAGGTTCGAGCAATTTTCCTGCCTCAGCCTCCCGAGTAGCTGTGAATACAGGCATGTATCATCATGCCTGGCTAATTTTTGTATTTTTAGTAGAGATGGGACTTCTCCATGTTGGCCACACTGGTCTTGAACTCCTGACCTCAGGTGATCCACCTGCCTTGCCCTCCCAAAGTGCTGGGATTACAGGCGTGAGCCACCGCGCCCGGCTTCCCTGATTATTATGTATGATGTTAGCCTATGTTGGCCTTGTCAACTTAATTGCCATCGATGGTGTTATAATCTCCCTTATAACCACATGTGCTGTTCCACTATGTCTACCACATTTTTGTGATAAGCATACATGATGCTATGCTATACATTGTCTCTTTGATTACCACTGTGATTCTACACTATGAGTCATCTTATTGATAACCATACATGGTGCTATCCTAGGTGTGCTTCAATCCTGTGACAGTCACATGTGATACTACACTATATCTGTCATCTCCCTGTGGCTCACATGTGACATGATATTGTGTCTGTCTTATCGCCCAAGGATCATGTTTATTTCTACACTGTATTTGCATCATCTTGTTGAAAGTTGAATATTATGCTACACTGTGTTTTCAGCTACTCCTTTAAAACCACATTTGATGCTGGGCCATATCTACATCATATCCTTGATAATCATATATGATGCAAAACCATGAGTCATCTTACTGACAAATATGTATGATACTAACACTGTGTCTACATCATGTCATTGAAGCCACATGCAATGCTATATGACGTCTTTATTTTCTCAGTGACAACCACCTGTATGGGTGTACTATGCATGCATCGTGTCCTGGATAACATTTTATGATATTGAACAACAAGTCATTCCCATGACAAACATATATGATGCTGTATTATGTGTCATCTCTTTGACAACCACATGTGATGATTCATAGTGTCTGCACTATTTCCCTGGCAAGTATTTATGATGCGACTCTACGTCTGCAGCATATTCCTGACAAGCATGTGTTAACACTATACACCTTCTACATTATCTCCCTGACAATTTCCTATTTTACACTAAACTATATCTACACCATATCCTTGATAACCACATGGTACTATACTATGTCTCCATCATCCTGTGTCTTCTTGGCAAGCATATGTGATGCTATACTAAGTCTATGTTATATCATGGCATCACATACCATGCGTGATGCTATTCTATGAGGCATAGAATATGAAGTATGAACTATGTGTCATCTTCCTGAAGACACAGATGATGCTAAACTACATCAATACCATCTACCTGATGACCACGTATGAAGCTACACCAAGTCTATGTTATCCATCTGATGACCACATATGATGCTATGTTTTATCTATGTCATGTATCTGACTACTATGTTTTAATTTACACTGTTTGTTATCCTCTTTATAATAATGTATGATAGTATACTATATCTTTATCCTATTCTTTATAACCATGTATGATACTGTTCCATATCTTAGTATTTCTTAGAAATCCATATATGATGCTATAGTATTTATACCTCATTGCCCTGGTCAACATGGTCTGCAGGGTCCACTATATCACATCGCCACATTTAGAAAGGTGGTGATATTTTATGTATATATCCTATTGGTTCTGTTTTGTACTTATATATATATCCTATTGGTTCTGTTTTATACATATATCCTATTATATTTTATATATATCCTATTGGTTCTGTTTTATCCTATATATAATTATATATGTATATATTATATATATTTATATATTTTTATATATTATATATTTATATGTATTATACTATATTTACCCTATGTATAATTCTGTTTATACTATATATAAATATAAAACCAATAGTATATAAATACACACACACACACATAGTATGTAACCAATATTATATAAGTATACACACACACATATTTATATATGAAGGCTGAGAAGTCTTGCGATATGCCATCTGCAAGCTGGAGAATCAGGAAAATCAGTGGTGTAATTCAGTCCAAGTCTGAAAACCTAAAAACTTGGGGAACCAATGGTGTAACTCTTAGTCTGAGGCCAAAAACTTGAGAGAACTAAGGAGGACACTGGTGTCAGTCTTGGAGTCTGAGGATCTGAGAACCAGGAGCTGCGATGACCGAGGGCCAGAGAAGATGAAGATGGATGTCCCAGCTCCAGAAGAGAGAAGAATTTCAGCCTTCCTCCACCTTTTGTTGTATCTGGGTCCTCAATGGATTGGATGATACCTGCCCACATTGGTGAGGGTGGCTCTTCTTTACTCAGTCTAACACCCTCACAGACACACCCAGAAATAATGTTTTAACAACTACCTGGGTATCCCTTAACACAGTCAAGTTGATGCATAAAATTAACCATCGCAATGCCACACTGTATCTGTGTATAACCTGTTACCCACATATGACACTATACTATATGTGCATTATCTCCCTGATAACCAAATACATTGTCATGATGTTTCTGAGGTATCCTAAAGCATGTGTTATGCCTACCTTATTCATTGGTAGTCATATATGATGTTGTACTATGACAATTTCCTTGATGATCATGTATGATGCTATATAATATATGCATCATGGCCAGGTGTGGTGGCTCATGCCTGTAATTTCAATACTTTGGGAGGCCAAGGTGGGAGGATCGCTTGAGGCCAGGAGTTTGAGGCCAGCCTGGGCAACATAGGGAGACCCCATCATTACAAAATATTAAAACAAAATTAGCCAGGTGTGGTGGCGTGCACCTGTAGAACTAACTACTCAGTAAGCTGAGGAAAATAACTTGAGCCTAGGAGTTCAGGGTTACAGTGAACTATGATTATGCCTCTACACTCCAGTCTGAGTGATAGAGCAAGACCCTGTCTCCTTGATGAATATATTCGTTGATGAACACACACACACACACACATGCACACACACACATACACCCCTCATATTCTAGACAGCCATATGTAGTGTTACATTATTTGAAATATATTGGACAACGATGTGTTATGTTATTGCTATATCACCCCTTTAATAACCCCATAAGATGCTATAATATGTTACTTTATACTATTTCTGCATCATATTCGTAATAACCATTTATTACACTAGGCTACAATTAATCTCCAGGACAAACATATATGATACTACACTATGTCTGTGCCATTTGGAAAACAGGGTATGATGATACAATATTTTTGTGTTACTTTCCTGACCACTTAATTTATGATGCTGCGATATGTCTGCTTCATTTTCGTGATAAGCACCTGTGACATTACAATGTATCTGTGTCAAATCCATGGTATCTTCATATGACACAAAATTATATGTCATCACCCAGATACCTTTTTTTTCTGCATCCAATCATCCATGAGACCCCGATGCCTTGTATGGCACTATGGTATGTGTCATCTCCCTGATAATGTATGACACCGCCCTATATCTGCATTATCTCTCTGACAACCTAAGTAAGCTTATACTATTTTTTGAGCCATATCCTTGACAATTGTATATGAAGCTATACTGTGTCTCATCATGTTCTTGACAATGGAAGAAACTATGCTATGCTTGCATATATTTAAGAATCATGTATAATGTTATATATATGTGTGTATATATACATGTGTATATGTATACCCATACATATATATGTATATATACACACATACATACTATGTGTATATATACATATATATGCATGTATATATATTATATATTATATATATAATATATAATGTTTATATATTTATGTATATACATGCATATATATAACATTATACATGATTATATATTATGTGTATATATATTACATTCCGAGATACTGGGAATTAGAACTTCAACGTATGAATTTTAAAAGGACACAATTCAGCATACAATATCACATATGACATACTGTGTATTTGCTTCTTCTGCCTGAAGACTGAATATTATTTTATGTTTTTATAATCTTCTTGAAGCCACTTAAATTACACTGTAACTTCATCATGCCCTTTGCAAAGGACTGTGCTACACCTTATGGGTGACACAGCCTAGTTATTTAAGGATGATGCTACAATATATTTACTTTGTCTCCCTGATGATCATTTTATTTGTAAGAACATGTTTTCATCCTCTCCTTGGCAACAACTTGTAATTCTCCACTATGTCTGTGTCATTGCCTTGATAACCACATGTACTCTTTCTGTATCATCTTTCTGACTACCACATATGGTGCTGTATAACATGTGTTTTATATCCCTGATAGCCACATGTGATGCTGTCTTATCTCTTACCTCTCTGTAGGACAGATGTATGAGATTACACTATGTCTACGTCATCTCCCTGATGGCCACAAATGGCAGCTGCATTACATGTGTGCCATCTCCCTGACCACATATGCCCCTACGCTGTCTGATTCATCTTTCTTATGACCATGTATCCTGCTTCACTACGTGTAGATCCTTTCATGACAACAGTTTTTGGCTCTGTGCCATGTCTGTGTGTGTCTATGTGTCCATACTATGCTACACTATGCTCTGCTCTGCTATGCCATGTCATACCATACCATACTATACTGACTTATGTGTATACATTGTCTTTTTTGGAACCAAGCATAATGTTACATTCTGCCTCATCTCCATGGTCAACAT